CTTGTTTCCATATCTTTCAGTCCTTCCCTTTCAGTAGATGGAGATACTTGTCTCTCTTTCTGGCAAGCTGAACCCCCTACCAGGCTCTAGCAATGACTGCCCTTTGTGACATTTCTCCCTGAATTTCTAAACGCCTATGCAGCCCCAGTGCTTGGTGCTAGAGAAACTAAAACAGGTAGAGTATTTTCACAGTAGGATACAGTCCTGCAGAATAGGTGCAGGTTTGAGTAGCTTACCCACTAAATAGAGACACAAACAACCAAATGCCATCCCAGGTAAAATAATGTTACTTCTCAGACCCAACTAGTGCAGTTCCTTCCACCTTTGCAGTTGTGCTGACAGCTACCTAAAACGTTCTTCCTTCTTCTGCTCTCTCCAGTCTTCCTTATTCTTCAAACACCACTTCCTCTGGAATCCTCCCAGGCTTGAAGAACATCTCCTTTCTCACTGCACCTTTGTTTTTCAAGGTATCTTGAGGCCACTGAGGCTCACATACTCCATAGTTATTGAGGACCCAAGCTAGGAACTATAACTGGCAATGGGGAAATGGAAGAGATAAAGATGTGGTCCCTTGCTCATGTAGACGACAGACTAATGGGGAGGCAGGTATGAGTCAGATAATCACATCTGATATAAATGGATTGCTGAAATCAGTGCTACAAGGAAAAGGCCCATTGTACTCTGAGAATTTTGAGGTTACCTGGGAGAAGTGAAATCTGACCTGAAATCCAACGTTAACCCAGCTGAAGGAGAAGGGCATTCTAGGCAGAAGCCACAATACCATATGAAAGTGGAGAGGCAGCGGCAAGCAGAGGCGGGCCTGAGTGAGCACACACAAGATAGGTTGCAGGCCTTGCCCTGTACCCCAATAACTGTGTGTCCTCTCACCCTTACTCTACTCGAATCTCCTTTGTGTTTATGCCCATTGTATTCCTTGCCTTCAAATCTTGATTCTCTCCACCCCTCCCGTAGTTTAGGATTACATGGAAAATGTAAATTATGGGGTCAAGTTACAGGTACACTTCTGGATAAAAATAAGCCTGGGAACGGGAAAGTAAATTTCCTCCAGAACAAAGAGGAGACAGCTTGATATAAAAACAAAGCAATAAATAACAACAGCAAAACCCCAGCTGTTTCTCCAGGATAAACCCAATCAAGATGAATGCAATGCCACTGTTATCATCAACAAACTATGTGAGATGTCCAAAACTGGTGTGTACTCAGTTCTAATGTTCTGATCAGAGATGTTCAAATCCTTGGCAAGCTGTTATAGCTCTTCTTTAAGGAGTCACCATCGTCTAGAGATTATATAGAGTGGCCACATTTATATCCTTCACAGTGACTTGCATTAAAAAGTGCAATAATTGCCAATAAATGTTAAACTGAATTTCCAAGCATCGGGAAGGCCTGTATAATCAATAAATGAATACATTTAAGTCTATTTCCCGGAACTGTCACCAGTGAAGAAGCTCAAAGTTGTGAAAGAGCACTGGATGAGATTCAAGAGGACAGTGTTCTGTTTCTCACTCTGGCTCTCTCATGCTGCCTCCTGGGCCTTAAGAAATTTTCAAGCCTCCTAAGTCTACATTCACTGTAAAATGTGATAAGGTCACCTTTTTGGATATTTTCACAAGAAAGGCAAACATTGAAGTACAATCCAGACTACCTGGGAAATACTCGAGGAAGGCAGGATATTAGAGCCTGACACACCACACACCATTTCTCCCTAGATCCACCATTGATGATTTCTCTCCAGTGTTGGAAATGACTGCTGTCGAGTCCATGCAACACCGGATGAAATGGTTGGCTTGAATGCAGAAGCTACGTTAGAACAAGATCGTACCTCCTCTGGAAACACTAAAGCGACACTCATCATGGTGAAATGCTTCTGCTCCAAGATGTGTATCATGCTAGGGTTAACAGTGCCTCAGGTACATCTCCCGTTTCTCCACTGCTGTTTTTCCACCTGCTATGAGAAGAAATTGTACTTCCTTGTGCTTACCTGCCTGAGAAGGATTCTAGGAGAATAAATAGGGATATGTGTTACAGAAAACCTCACAAAGCTCAAGGCAGTGACAAAAAAATCTCTAAAATAAATTTGTCACATCAGCACTGTTTTATGTGACCAACATTTGCATTAGTATTAGTATATATAACCACGGAATCTAGGGTTACTAATGTTCTTGAAAAAAAAGTCCAGTTCTCTACACAATGTAGAATCGTACCCATGATAGAGTAAATTAGAAATAGGAAACTTACTTTCTAACAAGGTGAACTCTTCTATGTTGCACTTAGAAATTTTTCTTGCTTCTTTACAACTTACTCTTCCTGACTTTGACAATGTCTTTTGGAGCCACACAAAGCAAGTATTTTTCCATGTGATAACACTTCAGATATTTGAGGACAGCATTTATATCTCTTCATAGGAGGTGGCTACAAAAGTCTTCCCTTAACCATTCTAGGCATCCATCACTACATTGGCAAAATTTATCACTGTCCCCATGACAGGGTAGGCACAGCCCAGCTTGCCTATAGAACAGGTTCCTCTACTGGGGAAATGTGTTTCTGCCTTGAAATAATAACTGTGTGGATTTATCACAGGGGTAGAGTTTAAATGAAAATTTCAGATACATTCATTTTACTGGTACAGAGCACTGATTTTTAAAAATCCACTACCTTAATTTAATGTAAAGAAATCCAATTTAAAAGCTTCCCATAATTTCATATTTGAAATTTCCCCAGGCTTCTATTTAGGGTCTTGTATGCATACTATCTCTGGAATTCTAGACTAGGCAAAATCAAGACACTGTTTTTTTTGGTACCAGGGATAAAACTGAGGTCTTTAAGCTTGCAAGGCAGGCCGTGGTACCACTGAGCTAAATGCCTGGCAAGATAGTGGGATTTATGTTTTCTCACGCCCAGAGATAATCAGAAATGCCACACTACCTCTCACAAAACTATAACCTGGTGAGCCCATTAACATTAATGTTAAAAGCAAACTAAGTTCCAATATCTCGAGGCTCCTGAACCAAAAGAATCCCCTAAATTTTTGTGATTTTGCGGTTCTTAAAAGACCAATGGTTCAGCGACTCAACCATTGATATGTGTGCCTGTTATCTAGCCTAATCATTCTCTGAGCTTTGCAATGACTAAGATGGACAACAGATATAAGTTGGGACATGTACTGTGAAATCTGTTCATAAGTTTTGCTAAGAATTGACAAGTTAAAAAATACAGCGTGTAAAAAAATTGCACATAGTTGTGAAGGAAGATGAGAAAAAAACCTGCAAATGAGCTTTTAATGAGGATATCTCGATGCGAACATACCTAAAAAGAACTTTAGGATATGGGCATTAGGATGACAAAAAATGATCAAGCTCGGGGCGGGGGATGTGGCTCAGTGGCACCACATGTACCTGGCAAGCACAAGATCCTGAGTTTGATCTCTGGCACCAAAACAAACAAAACCCAAAAATGATTGAGCTAAGTTTTCAAGATAGTTTATAGGTGTACAAGGTCATGGTGATAATATACACAATGGAAAGCTTCTTCGTGAAGGGACACTTTGTTCACTCTTAATGGACCAATATACTTGGCTGCCCCAAAACACTTTAATGAGACAAAAAATTAGTCATAACACATTAGTCAGAAATATAGTTTTATTATCATATTTCATAATCTAAAAACTTTTTTAATTCTGGGAAAAGAATATTCCAACTTCTATACAAGTAACTGACCCTGCAGAGTACTGGAAAACAGTGTCTAAGCAATCTGAACTTTGTAGATAAGAACTTGTCATTTAGATTGAGAAGAAGAAAAAGAAAGAACAGTCCAAATCAAGATTTTTTTTTCCCTGAAAAACAAACAATAAAATTTGATCTATTCTTCAGTTTAACCTCAAACATGTTTTCCCAGAAACTTTGGTGATTTCTTCAAAACAACAATAGCCTCGACTCCAAGGTGGACTGCCTATGGGGACAAGGAGAATATTTTAAACCGAGATGTATGTGGGACATGGCACATGTCTCAGGCCATGGCATGTAGGCGAATTATCCCTCCAAGTGAGTCAGCTCCCATGTTTCAACAGTCAATTTGTGTTTTGAAGGAAGTATACAACTTAGATAACACATTTCTTTGTATGGGGGTAATAAATTAATCTGAACTTAAATAGAACATTTTAAGTATAATAAATAAATTTGGAAACTATTTGTCGTATGCAATGTATATAGAATAATTATGACATAATGGTGCTTTCTGAAGATCACTGGGTACCACTGTCACAGAGGGCTGTCATGCCCTCTGGGCAGGTTAACTGAACACCAAAAAAATGTGAGTTATTCTAAATAAAACAGAAAAGAAAAATGTAGCCATACCATCTTTAAAAACAAGTTGTCATCATTTGCACACATATTACGGGACAGAGAGCATGCAAATAAACAAGTAATTTTTTTTTTTAGTATGAAAAAGGTAAAATGCAATAATGGTATAAGCATAAATAATAAATCATTTATCTTTGGAGAAGACTAATTATCCAAGTAAATAAACATTATAATTTTTACAATATTAGCCTAAACAGTGATATTCACAGCAATGTTTTTACCCACTTGATAGCTGTCTATATACCACATGAATACCCCATCCCCATAAACCAAAAGTCAAAGTGAGGACTCAAAAATCAACATTTCCACTATAAATTCAAAATATTCGAAAATGATAAGTTACACTTTTCAATTTACTGGCATTTTAAGTAACTGCTTTATTACCTATTTTATTGTACTGCTAATATGATGCTTATTTCAATAACACTCACAAGTCTACTAATGTTAATTAGGTTACAGTTTTAATTTTTAAAATAGAGAATTAAATTTACATGAACAAACTTCTATAGTTTTAAGACCACCCACCACAAACATACACTTTCTGCGTATTTAAAAATAAATTAATATACTTGACATATATTTTCAATGTGTATTATATATATATATATATATATGTATATTATATATTTATATAGTTGTGGACAAAATTATCTTGTCTCTAGCGGGATGTTAGCACTTGTAAACTCTGCATGAGAACTGATGATATTGCTAAATGTAATGAAAAATATATGAAAATTCATTCTAGAAGAAAATTTTAAAGCGATATTGTTAAAAAGATTTTCCTCATAGAAACAAAAGGCATTTGAAGGAGGACAGTGTCAGATTCTGAACCCTACGTGCACTGTTTCAGAAATTATTTCAAAATGCACTGTACAGTGAACACCCCTGATAGTTGATTGAAAGGTAAGAAAGTATATTTATTTAGTCATTAAAGGATACAGAAGCAGCAAAATACAAAGTGAGCTGCCCATTGAAAAGTTATGCTACTGAAGAGAAAGGCATGCCTACAATTAAAGAGAGCAAGCTGCTGATATCACCAGGAAAGCAGGTCTTAGGAGAGGCCTGAGTGGTATCTACAGGGCTTCCAGGGTGGTTCCAAAACCCTCAAAGCGCCATCTACTGGCACTCCAAGCACTCAAGCATGGCACCAAGACCAGGAGCTGACAGAAAGTCCTGCTAGACCACAGCCATGGAAGCAGCCATTAAGACCAAGGCTGGCAGCATGGTTGGAGGGTGAAGAATACTTAGTCAAAGAACACAGCACAGTGTATTGACATCTGAATAAACGTGCATCTAAGGACAAAGAAAAACCCGAATCAAACAAACTGAAAAGTAGTCTGTCAGAATGAAAACTGAATTTTTGACAGAACGAGTCCCATAAGCTTCCCCAAAGATTAAAATCTTGATGAACCAGAACACCAGGGGGCAAAGGAATTCTTATTTTGAAGGCTTTCAAATCAACTGAGAGGAAGGTTAAACGTGAACAAAAATATTATTTCGCCACTTTTTACTAGATCTTTCCATGCCCCTTCCTTGCCTCACAATTTAGGCAGCAGTGGGCACAGATGACAATTCTGCCAGTGTCTGATGTCCTCGTGTGGCATGAGCCTGAATGACCACTGTCCAGAAGACCAGAGGCTAGGACTACTAGAGACCAGACCAATTATTTTCGAGGCTGAAGTCTTGTTTTGCTAAAACTTTAGGATTAGATTGCTTCAATTTTTAAAATATTCTTTCTGTAATCTGCCTCTTGCTTTTTAAGGGAGGTGATAATAAAATTCTGGTTCACTGGGATTCCCCTTTGGTTTAATTCTGATTCACTGAGACACTTATATGTGCCCTCTATTTTCTCAATACATCCACTACCGGAGGTGTCCAAAACGATAACATTCTCACCCCCTGGAACAACTGGGGGAGTTCCAATCCACCTGCCTTTTTAGATGATGTTCACAATTGCTGTTGGCTTTTTTTTAGTCATTTTGGGCCTGATATTGCCCTTCCGGCTCAGCCCCAGGAGCTCCGCTTTTTTGGGCAGTCTGCAGAGTTCTCTTGAGGTCTCAGCCTGTTCGTGTATGGACTTGGCCGGCTGCATGCTGGCTCTGTCATCCTTGGCTTTCTTCAGATGGCTCCTTCCCTTTGGATGGAAATGGACCTTGAGATCAGAGTGGATACACACAGAATGTGGATGCCCTCGGCTTCTACAGAGGTTGAATAGGAGCAGAGGAAAGACAAACAATAAGAAACATTTCGTTAACCTTTAAAAAATAATAAATACCTATCTATAATCACTTTTCTGAGCCATAATGGTGATCATGCTCCCAGTGATACAAATCATAGATACTGGGGTTTCTCCTGCAATAAGTTACCTGTAACCCCCATGAAATGATCACAGGGCACTGAATTCCCAGGGGATATTACTAGTCCTATCACCAGTGACAAAAATGAGGCACAGAAAATTTAAATGACTACCCAGAATAATACACACAGTTGGCCTATAGAGACAATGGAACCCAAACCCATGTCTCTTAGCTCTTGACCCCACTACCAGGAGTCTCAGAATAATCCACTGTATAGATATTATATAGTTTATAATTTACATAAGTGGTGTAGTATGCATATTACATTGATAGTACTATGATATATCTCACAATATACTTCAATAAGAGAAGGTTCTCTAGATAATAGTGTGAAATACTATTCTAGCATTATCATGGTGTCCTGTACTAACAGACTTGGTAGATTTGAAAGTCACAGTGGCAATTTAGTTAGGTACACATGCAGGTAAATTTTCACCTAAGCCTCTCAAATCCATCTATATGACAGATATATAAAATGCAACAGGGAACGTACAATACAAACATTACCAAATGGCCCAAGTATAAAAAAGTATACATACAGGCATTTGGGTTTCCTATTCGAGGAGATATCTGTAAGCTGAAAGAAAACAAATAAGGAAAAAATTACTTAACTCAATGGCTTGCTTTTGACTGTAAAAATCTTTCTTGTGTGTTTAAGAAATTGAATTCACAGTGAGGAAGTCAGAAGCTGCTAGTGGTACCCAGGCACCACCCATCACATCAGTGTCTCAGTTTCTGCTTCCCAGAGGACCTCTTGTAGGCACCTGTTCTCAGCTTCCAAGAAGCCTACATCTGCAGATCTTGAAAATTTAAAAAGTGGAAAAGCTTGCCAGCGATCAACATTTGAAGAAATGTTCTTACATCATTTTTTCTTCAGTGATCGGGCTGTATTTATAGCTAATTTAGTATAGCTGTGGCTAGTCACAAAGTATTAACTGAGAGGAAACTGGCACAAGATGTTTATTGACTAAAATGGATATTTAAAATGGGAACATACTAAGACTAAGCCCACACATACCCCAGGGCCATCTACCATTGAGATTACTTTCCATTCCGAATAACCCATGCAATAAAATATCTGCATGCACTTTTGTGGCTGTATTCTGAATGACTTCACCTGCAGGTCAAATTGATAATTATAATTTCCCAATCTACATGTCACTATTCAGATTATAAGATGACCCAAGTTATTCCCAACCTTTAGTTCCCAACCTCCCTCATGGAGCTTTCACTAGACAAAGTGATGTCACATCAGCAGGCAGACCAACAAAAGTAAACATCAACTAAGTAAGTGTGGAGAAAGGGCTCATGTGACCAGAACACACTTGGTATCTGAAAAGGACTGGTTCCAGGGCCCCTTGAGGATACCAAAATTTGTAGATGCTCAAGTCCCTTGTAAAGAGTGGCCTGGTATTTGCATATAACCTATGCACATCCATGTGTGTAGATCATTTCTAGATGAATTATACCTAATGTAAAGTTGCTATCTTGTATTGTTCAGGGAATAACGATATGAAGAAAAAGTGTTCATATTCAGTGGAGATGATCTTTTTCTTCAGTACACAATTTTTTCCCAAATATTTTCAATCCAAGGTTGGTTGAATCCACAGACATGGAAACCTTAAGATACGGATGTCTACTATACTAAAATATATGCACGTTGCTACAGTCTTAGAACTGGACAACTGGCTCTCTTCCAACTTCGCTGTACAAACAGCAGGACTATACACCTACTTGTTCAGACAAAACCTTGCATTTATCCTTGATCCCTCTTTCCCTCTTAATCTAATCCTTTAGCAAAGCCAATCAGTCTTGTCAATTCTTTGCCCAGAACACATCCTATAACCATCACTTCTCAATGCTTTATCTACTTCTCTGCCAGCTGCTATCCCTTTATACCTGCCTCCTACCCCATCTCCCATGCTTGCACCCTCCAATTATTCCCCACAGAGCAGCCAGACTCGTTTTGCTAAAACACAGATCACCTCATACTGAAAACCTTCTAGTGGCTTCCCTGTGTGCTGGGGAACAGATCCTGCCAGGCCTGGATGATGGATCCTTCTCAGTTCTCTGATTTCACCTCCTACCACTCAGCCATGCCAAACTCGTCACCTGCCTCTTCGCTTGCCTACAACATTCACCTTCCATCTTTCCTCTCAGAGCTGCTTCCTGTTCCTTACCTAGGTCACAATGCAAATGTTGCCTCCTCAGCAAGGCTTTTCCTAGTCACCCAATTTAAAGTAGTTCCCCTGGGACTGGGGGCTTAGCTCAGTGGTGCAGCACCTGCCTCCCAAGTGCAAGATCCTGAGTTCAATCTCAGTACGAGGGGGAAAAATAAAGTATGTCCCCACTCTGAACCCTTCAAATGTACCATCCTACTTTCTTTTCTTTCTTTCTTTCTTTCTTTCTTTCTTTCTTTCTTTCTTTCTTTCTTTCTTTCTTTCTTTTTTTTTTTTTTTTTTT